TGAAATGTATAGTGTAATCAAAATGACCTAATTTATATAGTTGTTATGCACAAATTGTTGTATTCTAGTTATTAGTTCATGGGTGGGATTTGTTGAAATATGATTGTAATTAGCAATGTGTTAGAGGCCTCGCGTATGTAGTCATCTCTTGGCCAGATGACAATGGCCCCACTTAATTAGGCTACTGGTTTAACAATCAAGTTATCGTTTTTCTGCAAATCTTTTAGCACTAGTTAAAACATGCACGAGCAGGCGATCTTTATCTGATATACAAACACGAGCCGAAGGCGAGAGTTTCTATATCAGATAAAGATCGGATGCGAATGTTTTAACGTGCTTAAAAACGGCCCATCTTATGAGTTCATTGGCGAAGTAATTTTAAAAATAAACATTGTCTAAGCCGAGAAATTCAAAGCTGAAGTTTAAAGTTTACAATCATTCCTACAAATTATGGCGACACCTCCCCAAGCACGTAGATCAGAGTTGTCTTTTCGTAGTAATGTATGTGGGAAGGTATATTTATATTTAGCCAGGTTACAGGAACAAAACAAATGTCAACCTTTTTTTTTAATGGAGTTCAGCATAAAGAGCTGGTGCGGCATCAGGCTTAGCCAAGGACCGGGCGTTAATTACCAGGCATTTCGGGACAATTTTAGGAGCAGTTGGGCCAAGTTTAACTATAGGAATAGCAATGAGATTTGAGATGGTTACTCTCCATTGGTAATTTGCATACGCAAATGTTGAACGCCATTGTTTACATACAGGATAAAAACCGAATGGGAGGTCTTTCGTTGATGCGCTGATGTGGTACAGGTCTTACATTCAAATGTAAGACCCATATCAGGTCTTACATTTTCAGTTCAGCCTGCAGAACCTGGTCTTTAGTCGAAAACCAAAACCGACCGAGAACAATGGAAATGGGTGTGGTAGGTTTATAAAAGGAGTACTAATATTAACTGGATTCTGATTTATTGTAGATCGATTTAAATCAGGACAAATCTTTATCCGATTTACAAACATTGATTAATTTAAACATTTATTTCTTTCGTATTTTTCTCCTGAATTATTAATGAGTTTTTTAAGTGCAGTGGGGGTCTTGGAGGGCGAGTGTATTTCCGGACCCACATCCACCACCTTGTCTTCTATAGTACATATATTCATCGGATGTGGAATCTCATAATCGGTGCACTGTGCTGACGAGTCCCGAAAAGGGCGAAACAGCTGTCCACAGTTGCCGTTGTTTGCCTTTCCTTTGAAGGGCACTATATAATGTCTTTACTTACGTGCTTTATCACCGTTTTTAAACTGTGAAATGCAGTGAGCAGGCGTATAAGGGTATATAACTACATATATAACTATAAGGTATATAACTACAGACGGTACCGTTTCGGCCTTATGGGCCTCATCAGTGTAGTGCTGATGAGCAGGATGAAAGTAACTGCTATTTACAGTTACCTTTGATGCCTCACGATTGTGGGACATCAAAACCATGCCAGAGCGCTCAAACTGCAAGCAGTGAGCGTGCGCAATGCGTAAGCGGCATGGCTCATCCTGTAGAGCGCTCAATATGACCTAAAGGCCATAGAGCGATATCTATATATATATATATATATATATATATATATATATATATATATATATATATATATATATATATATATATATATATATATATATATATATATGTATATTGAGTACACAGACTTAATTTTTTCATGTTAATATAGATTGGAGCGGATTGGAATTTTAACTCTTGAATAACATCTTTTCGGCCCATGTCATTTCAAGCAAAATTAACCCAATACGAGCCAATTAAATATTGCCAATCAAAATCACATTTGCATGTCCACCTTTGTGCAGCGTTAAAACAACATTTAACAAAAGGAAAAGCAACTAATCAGTGATACATCTTGCCAAACAATACGTTTAATGCAGAAGTGACAAATAAAAGTTCATGGACAGCTAAAATACTGAATTTTGCTACTGTGAAAATGTTTAGTTTGATAAACTCAAAACCTAGTATATAGGCTACGCACGCGAACATGCTAAAGTTGGATTGTCTTTTCTTATGCGCCCTGGATGTTTTGCTAGATATGCGTACACCAGTTTTGCCTCTCATATGCTTTTTGACAAAGTAATATTGGTCAGTCAGATATTAAGAATAACTCTTATACAGCCAAGATATTGATTCAGTATGATACATAGTTAGAAGTAATAATTGTTTCATTGCTTATTGACAATTGTTCAGTTTCAGCTGTTATTTAAATTTTACAATATTTCCAATTGGTCGTTCTTTGAGTAATATTTTATTTTACGTTTCACTGATGTTGATCTTTTAAAGTGCAAAAATAAAGTGATTAACCTTATGGCATATACGTAATATGTGAATAAGCAGTTCAGGGCTCCAAAGGGACTTTTTCTTGTGCCTGGGGTTCCCGGGTGACAACCTAGTTTTGGATCTGATGGCCTACTATAGATGTCTTACAATTCATTAGAGGACATCTTCTGATATTAGATCGGTAGTTCCTCGCTCTAAGCATGGCTTTTAAATTAAAATCTTTTATACTTTTTTTCACTTGCACACATATAAGACTGAGTAAACTTGTAATTCTTATCGTTTTTTTAACGATTTACTACAATACATCATATTTAGAGGCGGTTGAGTCGTCATCTTTTCCTTTATATAGAAAATGACGTTATGTAGTTACTCAGCAATACGCCCAGTTTGACGCACAGCGCACTTTGAAATGACGCAATGAAGCTTGATGCAGTAGTTTAAGTTTCATACACCGGCATATGCGCAATACCTCATGAATATGAGAAACTCTCGAACGAGACAAAAAAATTAAATTAAAACGTAATTTACTCTTATTTTCTACGACAGTAAAACATGAATTTACAGTATCACACGAGTTCTTTGCTGCGTAGCAGGCGTAATATAGTGCGGGCGGGAGAAGAGAGGGTGTCTTCTCCCGCCCGCACTAAACGCCTGTTACGCAGGCTACGTCCGGTGTGTCTGAACCCTTAACGCCCAAAAATATCACTCATGAGAACACACCCTAAAACTATATATAAATATGATTGTACCACATGTATATCATGCGATCACTGCATCCCTCCCTTACTTTGAATTGTCACGGTAGTCCTAACGAAATGTCAATGTCAAATGTCAAAATCGAATTATTAAAACTACTAAGCATTATATATGTTGTAACCATATCTATTGATAGGTCTTCTGTCCCTCGCCGGCAGGATACACCGTCTCTCAGCAAGTTCATCGTTCAACTCAGTGTTTGTGTCAGGAAGGTTATTATCAAGTTTACTGCAATCTTCCTCATAGCATGCATCCTCAGAGTTGTGTTGAATCTCTTGTTGTAGCACTTTCTTAAAAAATCTCTTGTTGTGGCACTTTCTTTCTTTCTGCATCGATCTATCTTGTCTTTTGTGTGCTGTATGTAAATCAGTCTTTACTGACTGTAGAGATATATCAACATTCTATTACATTATTTTTTATTTTTTTATTGAAAATATTGCAATATTAAAAATTGAAAAAAGAGTACGATAAAGGAGAAATTAGTACATGTATGGAATATTGTCATTTTTGTGTGCTGTATGTAAATCAATCTTTACTGATTGTAAAGATATATCAATTCTTTTAACAGTACATGTGAAATATAGTCGTTTATATATTTACACTGAAGAATCCGTCGTATCTATCTGGTAGATATCCTCTGCCTTTCTATAAACAGTTACACATTTCCAAGTTTGTCACTCACAGCATCTTGACAAATTGATGAATAGGCAATTCCAGCTATAGACTATATACATTTTGATCTAAGCAAGAAGAACAAAATCCATCACCACAGCTAGAAAGAGCATGTTAAAATTAGTAAAAATGCAAAGTTTGGTTGCGAAATGTTGTAAAATGCGGAAATATATAGGCTATAGCCCTGCGAAATTTGCAAATTTTGTATTAATTTGTAGTACGCACGGGAAAATGTACCACTTTCCGCCCAAATGTGGTACACTTTCCCGCGCGTAATATCAATTAATACAAAATTTGCAAATTTCGTTGGGCTACAGTATATTTTCCTCATTTTACCACATTTCGCAACCAAACTTTGCGATTTTGGTAATTTCAACATACTCTTTCTAGTTGTGGTGATGGATTTTGTTCTTCTTGCCCAGATCAAAATTTAGTCTACAGCTGAAATCGTCCATTGCAGGACGATAACATTGCTGGAACAACTTGTAACAAGTCTGTTGAGCTCAACAACCTTGTAGCAAGTTTTCAACAAGCCATTGACAACTTGTCAACAAGCTGGGAGCAAGCAGATCGAGTGCGAACACATCCTGTTGACAAGTTGTTGGAACAGCATTGCTACAAGTCTGTTGCAGGTTTGTTACAAGATTCACCATTGTTTATACTTGTATCATCTCTCGTAGTCAGGTCTCTTAGGGTCTTGATCGTTACAGAGCTGACAAAAGCACCAAACTTGGCATAGTTGTAGCTTATGGTAGTACTATCAATGTTAGAGGGGGAGCCCAACGTAAATATTCCATTGAGGGGAAATACGGAGGATTTACTTTTTTCAAATTTCACGAATTGGGCTCCCTGTGGTACTTATTTTAAATATATTTATCAAATATATAAAAACGTTTTAAATACATTTTGAAAAAGCTATCTACCCATTAAAATGCATTATCTGTCATGACTGTCGATTACAACCCCGAATCTTAACAAAAAAGCCACTTTTCGGCCTCTCTTTGAAATACTGCTGCCCAGTCCCACTCGGCCATTGGCTAAATCCAAGATGGCGGCTACCAGGCGTATCTACAAAAACTGTAAGTATTTCGCTATTGAAAGGCGATAATCCTGTTAATTTTATATTGCAATATATATAAAAGTTTGGTTTAACAATTTTTCTTTCAATTTTAAGTTGCTTTTTCTGTGTAATTTGCTAAAATTAATCGAAAATATAACCGTTTCAGAATCGGAAATGGAAATATCTTGGAGTCGATGTATCATATGCCAAACAACCACAACAGAAGATTTAAGATGTCCTCTTAGAGCATGTGGTCCATGTTATGACCCCATATCAGTCTATGCCTCTTTTCTTCAGAATGTTCTTGAGTTTAGCTCACTAGGTGCTCTGCCAGTCAATGTTCCCTTCGCTCTTGATATAGACACTGATGTTTTAATTAAAAATGAGGCGTCATGGCACAAGTCTTGCTATTTGAAATTCAATTTGTCGAAGCTACAAAAAGCCAAAGAAAGAGTATGTAGGAAAAGGGAGAAGGAAGAAGGCCAACCAGAAGAGGAGGAGAAAGCTCCGGCAGTAAAGAATCGACGAAAATCACTAACACACAATAAGGAGGACTGCATTTTGTGTGGTAAGGGGGGCCAGCTACATGAAGTCACCACTTTTTCGACCGACCAGAATATCCGTCGCATGATTACTGAAATTAACGATGCTACGCTAACGCCAAAGATCTCAGGAGTTGATCTCATAGTTGCTGAGGCCAAATATCACCTTAAATGTTTGACTGACCTAAGAAATCGGTATAGAAGTAAACTCACTAAAAAACGACAAGAATCTTGTGAAAAAGAGGACGAGAAGATTATGGAGTCTCAAGCATTCATTGAGTTGGTTGAGTATATTGAGAACTCTGTCGAGGAGAACAAGCTTCTTTTTAAGCTATCTGAATTGCATTCACTTAATATAAGTCGCCTTGAAGCTTTGGGCGTTTATAAGACTGTAAATAAAACTCGACTGAAGAATTCAATGTTAGATCAGTTTCCTGATGCACAAGAGCAAAATGATGGGAAAAATCTTGTCATAATTTTCACGAAAGCATTACAGGGTATGGTTAAAGATGCAATCAAGAAAAGGGACTTCTCTGAGGACGCCACGATACTGGCCAAGGCGTCCGCAATTGTAAGAAGGGACATATTTAAGAATAAAGGCTTCAACTTTTCTGGCAATTTTACTACAGGTTGTCAAGAAACGTCCACCCCAGCAAGTCTGAAGTCGCTCATTTATATGATCCTGAGTGGCTTGGACATTGAGAACACTGAAGCACAAGATTCCCAGCCATGTTTAACTGTGTGCCAGACGATAATTTTCAATGCAAAGGAACGAAGAGGAAGGTCAACAACTGGCCAGACACGACATACCAAGTCCCGCGAACCACCACTCCCATTATACATCGGACTTAACATACACGCAACAACAAGAAGCAAGGCGCTAATAATGAAGCTTTATGAGCTGGGGCTGTCGGTCTCATACCAAAGGATCATGGAGATAGAGGAATCCCTTGCCAGCTCCATAAGCGAGCGATTTGTTGCTGATGGATGTGTAGTACCTGCTAGTTTGAGAAAGGGACTGTTCACGATAGGAGCGCTGGATAACCTTGATCATAATCCGAGCTCGACAACCGCTACATCATCATTTCATGGCACTGGCATCAGCCTCTTTCAGCTCCCAACGGCTGGAAATCATGGGGAACTCAGAGATCCGATCCGCTTACCATCACATGGATCAGGACACTCACTACCAGAAGAGTACGCCGTTGTCCACCCCGTCGAGCTAAGCACCAACAGTTCTGTAATACCAGCAAGAATCACGAAAGAAACAGGGTTGTCTTTGAACTTTGAGAAAGGAGAAGAAAAACGATGGATGGAGGAGACCCTTGTTAAATTTGACAAAGAAAACGTTGTTGCTGATGACAAGTTGACGTGGGCAGCCTTTCACTCGGCAAAGCAAGTCGAAAAAGACCCACCAGCATTAACTGCACTGTTACCCATTTTTTACGAGAAGGCAGCAACGCCAGCAATGATAAAGCATGGGATGGACGTAATACGACAGGCGACAACCTTTCTGAACCCGGGCCAGGTCCCAGTCATTACTGTAGACCAACCTCTATTTGCCTTGGTGAAGATGGTGCAGTGGAAGTGGCCGACGTCACACGGAGAGCAGGCATTCGTTGCGATGATGGGTGGTCTCCACGTTGAGATGGCACTATGGAGTGTAGTTGGCGACTTGCTAGATGGGTCAGGATGGACCACCGCCTTGACAGAAGCTGACGTGGCCTCGTCTGGTGTGGCAGATTCATTCCTGAAGGCATCACATCTAACAAGAACAAGGTATGTTTGAATTCCTGTTCATATAACTAGTTGTTTTCTCAGCCAGTGAGAGTTGCTTTTATTGTTATGAAACCGTAACTGTATGCTTTTAAATTTCAGGCATGCTCACCAGATTACATCTCTTGCCCTGCATCGCATATGCTAAAGAAAGAGGCATTTTCGACGTGCGCTGATGACACTACAATGGCTACATGGGAGGACCAGAGAAAAACAAGGAGCCCGACGTTTCTCTTCTGGGATCTTATCTTGAAGTACGAGACCCTGGTTCTACTTTTTGTACGTGCACATCGCTAGCGTAATTTCACCCTGTACGTCGAGGCCCTTGAAGAGTTAATACCATTATTCTTTGCACTACACGCTTCAGAAATTTGAATAAATTGGAGTTAATTTACCCAAAACGTAAAACGGATATGACGTACGCCGGGCAAGCTTTTCTTCGTTTATTCGTAGACCCCTCACGAAACGTGTTTCTGCTGGGGTCTACACCTTAGGCTACTCGTTTTGCGGCTCTAAAAAGGGATTGATCTTTGATTAGTAAAATATATTTTTGATAACAAACTAAATTTCTGAAGTAAGATAGATAGTTTATTTGAACTTCTATGGCAGCATACACTAAATTGCAGTAGTTTTACATTATGATTAGATAGATCAAACGGACTGACGTGAAGCAGACCGAGGTAGACTTTGAGCTTACAAATGGCGCGTGAGCAGCCGCTATTAGTCCATACGTCATTAATGATCTGCCTCCAGACCTTATGTGCCTAACCCACCCTGTCAACTTTCCCTGTGGGAGGAAACACGGAGCACCCGGAGAAAACCCACCTCTTTCGGCAGAGCGTTGACTTATTCTTTTCACATTAGGACTGGGTTCGAGTCACAATGAGAAGTCCTCATTGAGATTCGAACCTGCGACCTTAGAGGTGAAAGGCAAGTGCGCTAACCACTTCGCCACCGAAGTGGTTAGCGCACTTGCCTTTCACCTCTAAGGTCGAACTTCACCTCTAAGGTTGTTCCTAAGGTTGTTCTAGGTTCACCTCTAAGGTTGAACTGTCTGTTCCAGTGTAGGTAGTGTCAATAATAGGAAACCTGGGGATTGATAGGGATACAATTTCATTCCTGAAACTAATACAAGGAGAACTCCAACTTGCTTCACCCACAACATTGTGAACAATGTTGTTACATCATTGGTCAGTTGTAACAATGTTGTTACATCATTGGTCAGTTGTAACAATGTTGTAACATCATTGGTCAGTTGTAACAATGTTGTTACATCATTGGTCAGTTGTAACAATGTTGTTACATCATTGCTCAGTTGTAACAATGCCTGAACAATATTGTGGACAACTTGTTCTCAGTGTGTAGCATGCAATTTTGTTCAAGCATCTCGATATCAACCAGGAACAGGTTTTTACTATTTTTTTTGAAAAGGAGCGTATTCACATTCTAAAACATGGTGTTTACCTGAATCCTACGTCCCTTTAGTCTTAAAGATGACGGATACGTTGTGTTCAGGCTGAGCTTCGCCACTTTTGATTGTTTTTGAGATTGTCGTTGGGTTGGCTTTGTATACGGCCAACAATCCGTATCGGTTTTGATCGATATATATTTATCGGTGCCCGAGAACGGCGTCGTTTTCATGTCCTTATTCTTTGTGGTAGCAATACAGCCAGGCAAGCATTGATTAAAGAAGAAATACCGCTGATCTGGAACAATCGCGGTCAGTCCTCTATAGGGATTAAGCTTATGGCGCGGTTGAGGCTTGCTACAGAATGATGATGGGCTGCAATTTCTCAGATTCTCTGGATTGTTAGGTAGTTTTGCCTTGAATTCAGTTTCGTTCACTAAATAGAACCAGATTTATAGTTCACTTCTCTGCCAGGTTAATATATATTATATTTTATTTATTACACGTTGTAACAATGTTGTTGTGAAGCCGATATCAGGAGGTGTTCGCACTGCTTGTTCCCAGTTGTAATAAGTCTTGAACAAGTTGTTATCATTTTGTTACAAGGTTGATGACGGTAACAAACTAACTGCAATTAGTTGGAACTTAGCCTATCGAAGGGGAGATGGCTGTGAAACTCATTATAATAACAATATAACTCATTATCTATGTTGGTCAACGTTTATTCATAAATCTGGTCCTTCACCGTCACATGTGTATTGTATTTTTACCCAACTAACCAATAGCAATGTTTTAGGAAAGTCACCTATCCGTGACTCGAACAATGGGGAAACTGGAAATTGCTATTGGTGGATTAGGCAGAAATACAATACACACGTGACGGTGAAGAACAATATTTATTGTTATTCTAATAAGTTTCACAGCCATCTCCCCTTCGATAGGTCATGGTTGGAATAAATGCTTACCTTCGTTAGAAACAAGATCAGTCTTGTGCAACTTGTTAATCTCAGTCGGCTGTGTGACATTACGACATACACACGGCGAAATATGGTCGTACACGACATATTTATAAAATTTTGTTTGATTGTTGAATTTGCTACTACAATTTCTATTTCTTTCTGTGTTAAAGCAATGGGCATTTCAACGGTATTGTGCCAACAAGCTTTGATGCAGCGGTGTACTTTGATAAAGTACGGTTCTCTTGACTCAGGCGTTGTAAAATCTTCGTTGTAAATTGACACGACTTCCTCATACAAACCATCATCTGAGTCTAAAAATTAAAATTTAGAAATTTGTTACCGAGGCATTTTGCATTACTCATGATTGACCATTACACAATATTGGAAGTATAGATGACAGTGGTCAGTACATGTGTCTAGCTAGGTTCGATTCCTGCAACATATAGAGTCGTCTGTATAATTTTACCTCGCATGTGAGAAGAATACTTCCAGTTTGAGGGTTTTTGTAGATGGTATAAAATATATGGAAAATTCGAGGGCAAGATTATATACAATTCTCACACCTAACCAGGGGCAGCTGCGGAAAATGCGACTATAATCCCTCTTGTGGGAATCGAACCTGCGTTCCTGCTGTTCTGGTGCAGCGCTCTAACCAAGTGAGCTACAGAGTCCAGTTGACAAGAATTAACCATAAGTTCATGTGGTGTTATCTTTACTGGACCTCTAGGGAGATGGAGCTATCCAGTGTGGATAAAGTTAGTTCAGGTTTCTCCCTGCATAGTAACCACTGCATGATGTCTGGACCATTACGGGTGGTCACCAGGCGGAACAGCGATTTATAGAATTGCTATAGAGTTATCCAGTAAAGTTAATTTCTAAACGGTCTGATATTATTTATTGTTAACTCGGCACTTACTTTCACCTGGCCTGTATTCCTGGCCGTTCACGAAACCTTGTAAAAGTAAAGCCATCACGAAATATTGTCCAGCAATATATTTCAAGTTCACAATGCTGCCAAAATCTAAAAGATGAGAAAGCTCGGTATCAATGAATATGTATTTGCAACCTAGTGTCATCACCTTGTTCGTAAAGTAAATGCATTCAACGTTAAAATGTCACATAATATTTTATCGGATATATTTGAAGAACGAGAAAGCGTTTGTTATTGGCGTATAAATGAGCAAAGTGTGTTAAAAACGAGGTGCTAACCGGGTCATGTTCACATACTTTGAGGTATTTTATACGCCGGTTATAAACGTTTTCTTGTTTACCATGACTCACGAGTTTTGTGCTTCCTGCACAGATCAAAATTCAAAGACGAAATTAGGGAATTCATTACGGAGTTTTGTATAAAGAAAATACATTTTCTCATTCTGAATAACCGGTTGACCAGCATCTGTTCACAGTGCATTTTTTAAGGATTCTTCAGTGGTGGGGCAAAACTGCCAAAGGGCCCATTTTCCTTTGCCCTCCCCCCAGGATAGTATGCAATCTCCGAAGGTGTGAGCCGAGTACTGCAGGCACGAGTTAGTTAGGGGTCTGGGCCGGACCATGCCCCAAGGAAATTTTTAAAATTTGGGTCTCTGCAATAGCATTTCCTGCATTTTGAGAAAACATTTAAAAAAAAATCTCGGCTTCTCAAAACAAAGTTTTAATGGTGAAATTTGTAATAAATTTCTCGCTAAACATTCAAATACAACTTAAGTTTAAGTATGCTCACCAACAAATTTTGTTTCTATTTTTTTTTTAATGTTAAACTCATTTACTCAATACAGGTCATAGGGCCCTGGCTTTGGAGCAATAGGCCATTTAATTTCTTCAGTGGTGGGGCAGAGGAGGGGCCCAGTGGGGCAAATGCTCCATTGCTCCACCAGTCAATGGTATTAAAAAATACCTTGTTTGGCTATGTATCATGTTGAGCAGACCCTATAACGATTGGCTTGCTGGATCATGAGACACCAGCCTGATCAATTGAACACGTTACGGTCCTGTGTAGGTGGCATTTTTCAATAATTGTACAGATCGAATCCTTTTCTTATGAAAGAGTGCATGGGTTTTGTTATATCCTTATCAATCGAATAGTTTTTTCCAGAAATGATCCACTACAATAACAATTACTGAGAGTCGCTTTTCTCGTTGTTTGAATTGTCTAGAATCTTTCACGAGGGCTGACAGTACCCCCGTTTGTGAGAAAGGCCAATTGAAAACTTGTGGACTCTGAGGCGTAGCCAGGATTTTTGGTCAGGTGGGGCCGGCAAAAACCCAGGTGGGGCCAAAACATTTTCCGGGCCACAACATTTTAAATCTCCCCCTTTTTTGGTAAAAAAATTTTTCAGACAATAACATTACAATTGCTTTCGTAGCACTTTTCCCGATTTCCGTATCACTTTTTCCGATGCTTCACCACGAAGATTCCGACAACATTGACAATTTTCCGTCGGATCATAACAATAGGGGGGCATGCCCCCACCTCCTCCCGGTCACGGCGCCACTGCCGAGCCCACGTTAAAAAAATCACTAGTAAAATAAACAGATTGGTTTAAACTTCATCTAACCCTCATTTAATACATATCGAAATAATTAGGGTTAGAAAAGGTATGAGTTTCAAGCTGTGTGCCGCAAATAAGCGAACAAGATCTTAGGTTTCACAGCATATATTCTAGAAATTATTAGAGACAAAATTAGATACAGTAATTTGAGTAATAACATGATGATAAGCGAAGTGTGAACAGCGCTAGCAATTACAATTCAAATACTGTAGTCAAGCAAGACTTTGCAGTAATAAAGCAAGTTGATGAGCGGGCGGCACACATGACCGACACAACTCGGCACCAAAGCTGGCAGAGCACCCCCTCACCAGATCATGCTGGCCCATCCCTGATATATTCTACAAAATTTTTGCATTATTGACAGCATGAAGCTATACAGGGTGTATCAAATTGATGTATATAGCTTCTTTGGGTACTTATAATGTGGAATAATGGAAAAAATTCTCGAACTCAAATTTTGTGAACCAGGGGGTGGGTGTCTTTTCCAACAAACTAAAAATGGCTTGCGCACGAAATTTAAAAGCTTGAATCATATTTTGAGTTAATTAATAGATGGAAAATTTGTTGGGTTTTTAATTACTGTACAAAATTTGAGACAATTTGCTTTAGTTTAAGCTCTTTAGCTCTTCATATTTTCTTTGCTTTCAATTGCTGCAGTTCAACGGCTTTATGCTACTTTTTTTGTATGTTAACTGAATTAAACGAACTTTATTTGTATTATACAAATTAAACTTGTACTAAACTAAACTTCTACTGGAAGTCATGGTAAGCCGTAAGGTCATCTCGTATTGGTCCAATACGAGATGACCTTACGGCTTACCAGACTTCCAGTAGAAGTTTAGTTTAGTACAAGTTTAGTTTGTATAATACAAATAAAGTTAGGGCTCCAAAGGGACTTTTTCTTGTGCTTGGGGTTCCCGGGTGACAACCTAGTTTTGGATCTGATGGCCTGCTATAGATAACCTACAATTCATTAGAGGACATCTTCTGATGTTAGATCGGTAGTTCCTCGCTCTAAG